TGGCATCACTACATTCCTGATTAAAACACACAAGACACAAATAACCAACTTCAACATACTTGTTGTAAGCCGAAGCATAAATCTGGTAACGAGAACCACACCACAATCCTTCGAGAAGGTATGATCTTGTGGAAGCAGGAACCTGTACACTCTCCCAGGTACTAAACTCAGGCTTATAGTAGACAGTGTAACCATGAATGGGTGTGGTGTCATCAATCACAGAAGGTTTCAACTTAACCTCAATGCTATTGGTGGTGGTTGACTGGAGTTGAATCTCAGGTGGGTGAGGTGGGGCTGAAGAAGTAAAATGGGAAAACAGAAAATGAGACTGGTTATATTAATGTAATCTTGAAAGATAGCTACAATCAACAACCTTTCACAAATATAAATTTTGTCTGAGAAGTTGTGGTAACTGTAACAATAAAAGTGCTAGCCTTATTACACATAAAAAAATGGCATCCAAGTGCTTGCATTGGTAATTGCATTTGAAAATAAAAAAGTAGATTTTTTTTTTCTACGTGTATCTCTTAAACAGAAGAAAAAGTAAGAGCAAAGAGGGGATAAAATCAATAATATGAGAAATTAAACAGAATATCAAATTTACATACCTTGGATAAGGAGTGTATGTGTGACTGTGTCTTGTCCATAGGGATTCTCAACATGGCAGGTGTACTCTCCAGCATCATCACGAGACACTTCACGAATCAGCAGAGATCCCTCAGTCAAAAGACGCATGCGATCATTGGGGGTAAATGGTTCACCACGGATTGTCCACCTATAAATGGGAAAGGGAATTTTTTTTACAATATCCTTCTTATCAAGCTAATATAAGTTCTATACACAGTTTTTTTTTATCCACAGTGATATCACTTTAGTGCATACATGTATATAATCTGCTTTATAACAATATGTTTATATCAAATAAATAAATTAAGGAAATCTTCCTTAGGTCTTTTTCAGTGCCAATCAGTACCTGATATCAGGGGTGGGGAGACCTACAGCCTGGCAATGGAGCTTGACATCTTCCTTGTATGTGGCAACATATTCATCATCAAAGGATGCAATCTTAGCAGGGACTAAAAGCAAAAAAAATATTAGAAACATAACTTAAAATTAGCAATTAAATGAAAAAGTATCTTTCAAGATCTATAATATTACCATGATAGATATCAGTGATATAATATAAGATAAATATTCTTATGAGTAGTAATCTGAGCATCAGCATGCTATAATCAATAAAATCTGTAATACGTAAAAAAAAATCATAACTAGATTGAATCAACTATGGAAACTGTATACACCTTTGCTTGACAGTTTTAGATGGACAGATTCAGACTTCTCTCCTTCTCCAATGGTTGTAGAGGCCGTTACCCAAAAGACATATTCATCACGCTGTTTAAGTCCATTTGCTTCGTAGTTCAGTTGAGATGATAGAAGTTTCTCCTGCTCTGCCTATATACAAAGTACCACAAATATTAATCTCCAAAGCTATATAACAAGGTGAAAACAATAAACCAAAAATTTAAAGAAAGACATAATAAACACTAATTCTCAATGTCTTATGAAACATTCACAATATCTTAGTTCCTACCTCACTGTCACTCTTTCCCTCTTCCTTGAAGTATACAGTGTACTGAGTAATGATACCATTAGGACGGTCTGGGGGAAGCCAAGATACCAGGATGGAGTCAGCTGACATAACCAGAGCCTTGACAGAAGTGGGGGCATCAGGAACTGAGAAAAAACAGGAATAGATTAGCTTTTTGTGATAACCAATCAAATACATCAATACTTTCAAATAGACACACAATACATACAACGAAAATTTTCTTATTCAGAAGACTACCAGAGCAGTTTCATACATGAGCCTTCTTTTTGCACTAAGGTTCATATACCAGAGGTATCTCTTACCATCCTGATCAGTCTGACAGTGAATGGGCTGTGATCGTACTCCTTCACCACCTGATGTGAAAGCCAAAACCTGGAGACTGTAGTTAGTGTACTTCTGAAGTCCATGGAGGTGAGTCTCAGTGGAACTAGTAATTTTTGTGTCCTTTCTCTCTTCGTCTGCAAAATTTGGGTTAGAATATTTGAAGATCATCAAATCTTTTTATAAAAAGGAAACTATATCAAGAATGATAAAAAAAAACTAGCAGTAATCAGATTACAAAATATTTTCGAAGATAAGTACTTCCACCTTACTTACCATACCACTTGTCAGATGGTCCATAGATTACTTTGTATCCCTTGATCACTCCCTGTACAGTCTCAAGTGGAGGTGAGGCCCAAGATACACGGATGGTCTGAGAAGTCAGAGTTGTGCAGGTGACATCATGAGGGGGTTGTTGGGGGGTCCCTTCAGCAGTGTAGGAGCGGATTTCCTCAGTTGTGGGTCCTTGTCCAATCTTGTTGAAAGCAGATACTACAACAGCATATTCAGTGTACACTCTGGGGAATGAGGAATTTCAGGATGTAGATACTACAAAGCATATTATTGAATTACAATTGTGTAGTACCAGATCAATCAAAATTAACTGAGCTCAGTCACAGAATCTTACTGCAGCTTCTTGATAGTCAGTTGATGTTCTTTGCCCACTTCCTTGCTGAATTCCACAGTTTCATAGACATAAGAGGTATTTGATGATGCAAGACGGTAGCCTACTTGGTAGCCCTGGATGTCTCCATTCCATTCCTCCCTAAGAGGTGGCTTCCACTTCACACGGAGGGAGTTCTGGTCAACAGCTTCAACTTTGAGGTCACGTGGTGCGCCACTTGGTGCTATAATAAGGGAAGGTTGTAAGTCATCATGGCATACATATCACACTTAGAAAAATAACCAAAAACTTATTCAGAAATTAAACACAGCAGTGCCTTTATGGAACATGCATAAAATGCCAAACAATGATAATACATAATGAACTTTGAACCTTCTCTGTATATGACATACTGAACTTAAATTTTCAATGAAAAAGGCTTACCTTCCTCGGCAGTGATGATAGTCACAATGTCTGATGGGTCAGAATCACCAATCTCATTCCTTGCTACAATGCGGAGGTGATAGGTAGTTGCTGGGCGGAGATCCAAGACAGCTGCCATGTTCTGGTTTCCAGGCACCATCATGCGTTCACCATCATTTTCCCAGTTACCTGTAGAGTAAAAAATAGTAATGTTTTTAAATTGCTTTCTAAGTATCTGAAATATGAATGTCTATATACTATATACTGTATTTTGATATATGGGCACATATTCAATTGTGCACATCTATAGCTACATATATATATAGTATATGTAAATCATGAATCTGTGCATGTATATATATTCAATACTTACGTCGGCTAAGCTTATATTCCACAATGTATCGGGTGATAGGAGAGTTTCCATCGTAGGGAGAAGTCCAAGACAGTTCCACTGATCGGCCACTCTTGTCAAGAACCTTAAGGCTACTGGGTTGTTCAGGGCGTTCTGCAAACATGAAAATAAAATATATAACTTATGTTTCATATGGATATAACAACAATTTGGTAAATGTTATTTTACAGTGGATATTGGCAATCACTTTTATTTTCATTCAAGCACATAGATGATAATAGAGATAATAGCTATAATAAAATCCTATGCAAATATCTCATTAATTTTCAAAATCATATTTCCTCAAGAACATCAGATAAAGCAAGAACATTATAGAATTTACATACCTTGAATGATGAGGTTGATGTTGGTATCTGCACTTCCAAAAGCATTGGTAGCAACACAGGTATAAACAGCAGAGTCGGTGCGATCAGTTGTCTTGATGCTAAGACTGCTGTGAACACTGCCACCACGCATTTCTTCACGGATTGTGTACCTATATTTTCCGTTGGGAGGTTTTAAATGTTTTAGGTACAAAGTTTAAAGCATAAGAAATTAATGTGCAAAATGACTCAGTCAAACTTGTTGGCTCCTGATAATCTAAAAATATGTAGAATATACTATATGAGATGTACTTACATATATATATATATATATATATATATATATATATATATATATATATATATATATATATATATATATATATATAATATATATATATATATATATATATATATATATATATATATATATATATATATTATATATATACGTATGTATATATATATACATATATATATATATATATATATACATATATATATATATATATATATATATATATATATATATATATATATATATATATATATATATATATATATATATACATACACACAAGTGAATATCATTGCACCAAAAACACATGCAGGTATTGAACTGCACATGAATATTACAAAACAATTATGCAGACTAGTGTACCAAAGTTAAATATCTTTCACAAAGTGTTTGTACATGGCCAAAAAATGCTACCAAATTTCAATTATGTATGGTACCTTGGTTCAGCTGCTTGGTCAACACTGTGCTTGTCCTTGCTCCAAAGGATGCCAATGGGGGTTTCTCCTCCAGCCTCGCATTCCAAGACTGCATCATCTCCATGTCGTGCTGTCTGGTTGCGGTACTGAATCTTGAACTGTGGGGGAGCTGAAAAGGTATAATGAGAAAATTAGTGTATAGTTGACACCTGATAATTAATATAATGAAGCATTAAAAAATCCTCAAAAAAAGAAAGATAACAAAAAGACAGAAAAGTGTCAAGAAAAAGATAAAGAGCTTACCTTGGACCCTAACGTAGATCACAGTAGACAGTCCAGCACCAATACCATTGTTGGCTTCACACAAGTAATATCCTTCATGAGATTTCTGAATACTGCTGATATGGAGAGTACCATCATCAGTAACCTTAATATTGGGGTTGTTTACATCAAGATCGCGATAGTCACCAGGGGTATGTCCTGTGGAGAGGAAATGCAATTAAGAGATGACAAAGTCAATCTCTCTCTCTCTTCTCTCTCTCTTTCCTCTCTCTCTCTCTCTCTCCTCTCTCTTTCCTCTCTCTGTCATTCTCTCCTTTTTCTCTCTCATTCTCTCCTCTCTCTCTCTCGCACTCTCTCTTCTCTCACTCTCTCACTCTCTCTTTTCTCACTCTCTCGCTCTTTCCTCTCTCACTCACTTTCCCTCTTCTCTCCCCCTACTTTCTAGTATCTTCCACTTCACACAAATTTTACTATTACATGCAAATCAACAAACCTGCAGCCTTCTTCCATCCGAGAGTGGGTCGTGGGAAACCATCTGCTTTGCATTCTAGCCTAGCATCACTGCCAAGAGCAAAGGCCTTGTCTGCAGGTTCCACAATCCAGCGTGGTGGTACTGTTGAAGTCGTGCACAAAACATGTTAATTCTTGTATAGTGACCATGAGTAAGGCAACCAACCCTTTTAAAGTCTATAAGAGTGAAATCACATTTATGGTGAATCCAATTTTACAGACTTGAGAAATGGTCTCTTACCCTTTTGATTTTCATGGAGTAGTTATATATCACTGACTTTAAAGTTAATAGTATAATAGTTGACAGTATATGAAATAATTCAAACTGAAAAACTCACTGATTAATTACTTTATAATGAATTTCATTATGAATGGAATCAAATCTACCAATGTATAATTCAATCAAATTAACTGAAGTCAAATACTGAAAAAGGAATTTATTTTCAAGATATGACCATAAAAATATCTTAAAATTAATGTTAAAGTCTTAAAATCTAAAAGCTAATCTAATTGAAGCAATCACTAAGCATGCAAAAACACAGAACTAAAGAAAAATAACCAAATATACCCATTCTGTACCCTCAATTAATTGTTCCCATAAACCAGTGTAGTGCCATGGTACTTGGATGTGATCAGGGAAAGGATAGGATTGGAAATAAAGATCCATAATTCAAAGTTAGTTCAGGCAACTCTTAATCATTCTCTTAATCTGCTAAGCAACGAAAAATCCTGACAGTACCAAAGTCAATTTGCCTGCTTTAAAAAAGAAAATGAGGCTAGGTTTTAGGAAGGCTTTAGGATATGTGTATATATGTATGTAACTGTGAATGTCAATTAGGTTTATGGGAACACTGCAGGGATGAGAACAACATAAAATAAATGTTCTTGTATTGACTTATATTCTCCCAGATTATTTCATTTCAATCTATATCTTAATATGCATAAGGCATTATTTACATCTATAGTTAGTGACACCAATATCGAGAAGTAAAACAGTATTGAGAAAGCCATTTTAAAATAATTTCAGCTACAAAATTTAAAATGATTGTGTAATTTTTTGAATGAAACAATTATCTGAGAGGACTACATGAGCCAAAAGACAAGCAAACAGATAGACACAATAATTCCTACTGTATCTGTGCATATCTACATGCTACTGTCATGCACTGAAAATGTGAAAAATAATAATAAGGAAAAATTAAAGAGAAGTAAAGATCTTTCATGTAGCTAACAGAAAATAACTGTAGGTATTTGTTAAGGTCAAGGAAATAGGTTAGGGTATGTGTTACATGAGATTCTCCCTGTTCCTTCATTTCTTTTTTGTGTAGAAATGACAAAAAAAATTCCAATTGGGTATATAGCCAATTTGTTTTTCACTGTTAGCGGACACCCTCAAACGCCTTTTTTCATGGTGTTCTATCACTTGTTTCTTTTTTTTCTCTCTCTCTTTAATATGGTAAAAAATTCAGCAAGTTGGTTACTAAGCACTGAAAAGCAACAGAAGCATTTTTGTTATTCATAAAAAACCACGAGACAGACAAACAAACCAATCACAAAATTATTTATGGGTTAGTATCTAACAATTCCAACAGGGTCAGATAGAAACAGCATCATAATCAGATTGAAGATTCCAAAAAAGGACACCAAATCCAGAGTCATAAAATGTTTCACACAACCCAGAGCTATGAAGCAGTCAGGAACCACCACCACTTTAGGGAAAAGGAAAGTAGGAGTGTTCTGTTTTTCCAGTCATGGGGCTGTTCCAAAGTCCTCTCTGGCTTTGATGGTCTCATTTCCTTGTTTTTTCTTATCAATACCATTGACAATTGTATTACAACTTACAAATACAATACTTAAAACTATTGGAAAGTAAAATTTCCCTTAATATTAGTGGTATATATGATGGAGTAAAATGAAACATGCCATGAAACAACCCCTTAACAGGTCAACTTTTTCAATTCAAGGGACAGAAGCCAAAGCCAGCATTAAGGACAACCCTCAGTTAGTGACAAGCAAAGACTTTTAAAAATACTGAGCTGAATGGTCTAATTACAAACTCAATTATATTAGTGTGGCTATATTACACTCTTAGTTTATCAACTCTTTATCATTATTTCTAAATATCGCAATTTATATATTACAGTTACCATTAAATAAAAATACTTTTTGGAAAGACAATATGAAAGAAAAAAACAAGGTTCATAATTCAATATAATATCTACTGTTAGCTTTTCTATGAATATTTAATTAGAGTGACTTATTAAATGCATTGATAGCAGTACCTGAACTGTAATATAAATTTGGATCATTTTACTGTAAATTT